CCCGCCAGCAGGGCGGCCTGCAGGCTGGCTGCAGAGACCCAGTCGGGCCGCTGGCGTGCGCTCTGGATTGAGGGCGGAGCAGCAGTGATGTATGATGTTTGCCGAGGAAGCCAGCCGCACTTCAAGGCACCAGGCTTCAAGCTTACGTGTGCATGTCAAGAATTATGAGGGCACCCATCAAAGTACCCTTTGTTGCTGCCAAAACGGGCTGTTGCGGATCGGGAAAGTTGTCCTGGTGCTGCAGCCGCTGCCTGTGCTGCCACCGCCGTGCACACACCTGCTTCCATGCCGCAGGCAGCCGTGTCTCATGGGCTTGCGCCGCCTGGTTTGTGACGTCCGTCGCCTGCGGCATGCCAACAGCGCCAGTGTTTTGTGTGAAAGGTACAGACACAAGATCGTCCGACCAGGCCGCACCAGCTTTCTCCTACGGCCTGACAGCTGGGGGGTTTGCCACCCGTTGAGAAGCCAAGGTTCTCTCTTGTAAAGCATTTTCCCCCTCGCTACTGGCAAAGCATTATGTTATGTGATGAAATGTGTACGCAAGGTGAGCAGCATCAGCAGCAGGCTCGCATTGAGTTGTTCGCAACAACAACACCTGGCACACGGTCCGCCACACGGCTGCCGCCTGTCCGCTCGCATCACTCGCACCTTCCAACCGACAGAGGACGCCGAGGGCTCGCCACCCTGCAACGCCGAGGCTGCCGCGCCCACCTGCTGCCGCTGCCTCAGCTGCGTCCTGTAAGCGAGGCGCTGCTGTGCACATGCAAGCGCCTGCCGCTGCTGCACGCTCGCGAGCGCATGCTGTTCGTTGCTAAAAGCTGCCGTGTCAGCCCCTGGGTTCTTTGGGGCTCCGGCAACCGATGCCGCGGCTGCCTGCGCCAGGCGCCGCTTGATCCAGGCCCTGTAATCGACCGCCGCGCCGGAGCGTTTGAGCTCTTCGTACTCGGCCGACAGCTGCGCCAACAGCGGCCGATTGGTCACCAGCACAGCCAGGTCCATTTTCATAGCCAGCAGCTATGAACGATGAGCTACATGACTACCAGTGACCTCCAGAAAGGCCATCGCGTGCAATTCTTGAGCGCGAGTCAACAAGCGATCTGATATGTCAGGGACCAGCAAGGCGTTGTCAAGAGATTGGACCTTTTCTGTCTGGTGTCGTAGTTGCGCGTGAGGCACTGGTGATCTCATGAAGTTCATTGAGCATCTGCGGCCAACTCTTCAGTGAATCGCATCTGGGCCACTTGAATGACCACCACAGCACTGCTGGGCAGCCTTTTGAATCGTGCCTGATGAGCTTTGCCATGAGTCAGGCAACTTGGGCCAGGATGCTGCAGCACACGCCAGGTCAACGCTGCTCGGCGGTGAATGCAAGCAGCCGCCGCTTGCAGCATTGCATGCTGACGGCGGCATCAGCTGCATTCCTGAGCCCACCACCAGCTGAGCTGGAGGCAACGCGCCTCCCCCCTCTACAATTAGAGCGGCGACCTGCATGGCGCTCTGATTCACATGGCGATAACTGCACCTTTCAAGGGTCATATGACAGCCGGTCATTGGCCCCCAGCCGCAACGGCCAGCTTTTGGCGCCCCTCGTACAGGCGTCCCCGCAGCCCCGCCATCTCCCCCGCCGGCGCCCCGCCCACCACCTGAACCACCGCCGCGGCCACCGCGCCCAAACCATCCGCGCCCCCGGCAGCTGCGCCTCCGCCGCCCTCGCCGCGCGCCAACAGCGCCTCCCTCAGCGCCGCAAACCCATCGTGCAGCAGCAGCTCCGCCCACGGCTCCGCCAGCCGCGCGGCCAGGTCAGCACCAACCTCTACCGGCTGCCGCCCCAGCACTGCCGCGCCGCCGCCGCCGCCGCCGCCGCCGCTTCCCTGCGCCGCCGTGGCAAACGCCTTGGCCTGCTGCTGCAGCCCCATCCCCTCGGCTACGTACGAGATCGGCAGTCCAACGAGCGCCGCGAGTGCCAATGTGCTGACCGGCGAGCCCGCCCTCGGGCCAAGCCACGCCGCCTGGCAGATCTCCCCATTGCCATCAATCACAATGCTCATCACGCCGCCGCCTGTCTGTGACACACTGCCGCCCGGCGGCGCGCCCGACCCAACGCCGTCCCCTGCTCCATCCACGCCCTCCACCGGGCCCGCCATGCCGGCGGCGGCGGCTGCGGCACCGCTAGCGCCACCGCCACAGCAGCTGATGAGAGAGATGCCACCCGGCGGGGCCACCAGGGACGGCGCCGCCATGCACGCGCCCCTCGCCGCGACGGCAAACGCCCAGCCGCCAGGCAGGGCGCACGCGGCGGCTCTCGCCGCGCCGAGGCGCGGCAGCGCGTCAGCGCTCGCGCCGCCGCAGCCGCCGCAGCCGCCGCAGCCGCCGCAGCCGCTGGGGGCTGCTGCGGCGTCTGCCGCGGCTGCGACGGCGTCGGCCAGGCGGGCTCCAACCTCTCTGCTGCTGTAGTGCTCCAGGCAGACCTCGGGCACGCGGTAGCGCCTGCGCCGCAGCGGATGTTGTCATTGTTGCAGTTTGGTGATGGCTGACAGTCGCATATGACGGCGGCGATTGAGCAGCAACAGCACCACGGCCAGCGGGACCAACCAAGGCAGCAGCACCAGCAGGAGGAGGAGCAGCAGCAACAGCAACAGCACCCACTGCCTGGTAGCGCCGCCCGGAACGCCCAAGCGCTGGTGCTCCACCCCTGCCCCGACCCCCCCCCCCTCAGCCTGCCCAGCACCCCTGATCCCCCCTCACTC